GTCACAGTTCATAAAACTATCAATACACAGGACGCTGACCGTTCGACATTACCAGAACCCCAGACTAGAAGTCAAGCTGATAAGTATTTCGCAAGAGTCGCTAATGAAAACATTTTACCTAATAGGGTACATAAACTCATTGGTGTTGGAGGATGGGTCGTTGGTATATGTAAGTAAATTTGAAGTCGTGATCTTCCTTCCTTGATACATTTCCCGCCCTCCATCACTCATTCCAGCTTCTATATTCCTCACTCTGTCACATCTCTAAAGTTTCCACCCCAGCTCACTCTGTCCCACATTTGAGTCCTAAGACATATGACATGAAGTCCCGATATTTCCGGAAGCTCATCTCGCACACCTCAATGACCTTTTATCCTCATATTTCAGTTTCCCTCCTTCTGAGATTCCCGGACCATCCGTTTCCTTCCAAATCCCTGATATACTTCACTGCAACATAATCCACGACCTTCACAGTCGAAGAATAATATACTGATTTTTAGTCACGATGGGATATATGTCTCTATACGCAGATTTCGGAAAACGAGAACATGTCTTCTCACCTGTCAGTCACTTTTGTTTACATTATATCCCCTATCAAACTCCCTCATACCTTGTCTTCGTCGTATCGATAGAATGGTCAAACCTGTTCACCGCTCTCCGGACATAGATTTACATCGCTCCATGCCATTCACCCCTTTATGGTGACCGGAAGCGATGTGATTTGCCGGGCTGACAAACAGCTGAGAAGATGGTATCATCGCACAATATCGAACTTTATCACTCTATCCCCATCCGAAAGACGAGTCCTCGGTCTCGATCGATCCACTGGTCCCGCCTCGGTGTCGAAACCTTCATGAACATCATTTTCTATACGTTGAGAGCAAATACTCCCTCTGATAATCTGCACCGAAACGTCAACATGCTTTACTAATCGATCATCTTCAATTCTTTCTCACACCCATTGATCAACTCCTCACCGCCTTCCGCCATATCCTCCTCCATGCACTCTCGACACTCGTCAATCCTTTCAGCTTACTCGTTCCCTTCTACCCTCACCTCCCTTCAACCAACACAGCTCGTCTCGAGGTGCTTCTCATCGACGTCATGCTTTGATCCTCTCGCTTTCTCACACTGACTAAATTCTCAACTTTCCCACCCGTCCGTTCATCGCCGGCTTCGAATCTCACGCTCGCGGATCGCTGAGTGTCAACGGTTGACCTACACTTCTCCTTCGAATCTCGATCTGAATAACACACTCCCGTTTTGACCTCCTTCAAACCCTTCAGGGACTATACACCAACAATCTACGTTTCCTCCTTGCGCGACCAATTTCAAATCCTACGTCCGACTATCTGGAACCGTCAACGTCGGTTTCCTGTTTCACCATCGATCAATCCCAACATCGACATGGTTCATTAAGAGCGAAATGGACATATTTCCAGATGAGGACAGCGATGTGACGGTGAGAACTGCCTTTCTGCGTAAGTATGTGAGAGAGGACTCCCTTACCCTATCCTAGTATGCCAAAGATAGAGAGATTGCTGCCTCGGGATCATA